CGAGTTCGATTTGTGAGATGTCAATCACCTCCGTTTTTTTTTTTTAATGCTTTATTTAAACATTCAGTTTACAGAGTAAAACAACATAATAACAACAACAACATAATAGCACAAAAAAGACGATGAAAAAAGACGACAACGATAAACGTCGCGTAATTGCGTCACTTCATAACGTTCCCATGGAAACAGGGGGAAATGGCTGCTTTTGTGTGAAGCAAACGCAACATTTTCAACTTTCTGCTAAGATACATGTGACTTTTTTTGCAACGAAAATGCGAGGATTATGAAATTATGCAAACCCCGCATATTTTGCACGGAAATCGGCAATTTATGCGGCGAAAGTGCGGCGTATTTGAAAAAAATGCGGCTCCCGCATAAATATGCGGACTTTGGCTGATTTTGCATTGAATTCAGCGATCGCATAATCGCTTTTTTCTGGAGGGACTGGTATATATAAATATATGACCTACCCCAACCCCCTCCCTAAACCAACCCGTCACTGGGGTTAATGCCATTTATGAGTCTTCACCTACCATCCTAGGAAAAAAAATATCGCTCCCCAGATGTAGATCTACAGTTTGCTTCGTTTCGCTCGGACATTTAACAGCGTGTACATACACGCGGAATCACTCGGACATTTAACGGCATAGACATACACGCGGATAGCTAAAAATGCACATAGATAACATGCCACTTGACTTGAAAGGGGCGTGTATGTTTACGCAAAAGTCATGATGTCATGTTGCTGCAGCAGTCAGGAGATACAAGTTGGAGCTCTACAAGGACGTGAAAGGTTTTTACAAGTTGAAATCTCGTATTTCTATAGCCTTTTAACGTTTTAACAATGTGCACACTACAATTAATAGACTATGAATTGAGTTGATTGATTTATAAATGCTGTGGAAAATATGCTGTCTGTAAGCTATTTGTTCGAGTACCCTTTCCTCTCAATGTCAATTGTGAGACTGGCACACAATCCCCCAAAATTATGATTTGACAAGCCATTCTGGAGCCAAACCACGATTAGCTGATGATGGCACCTCAAGAACGTGCACAGCAAGAGTCTCTCTCTCACACACACACACACACACACACACACACAACAGTCCAGCACCAGCTTTCAGATCTGGCTCCATTTTGGAATAAAAACGCCTACTCAGATTACATAACATAAAATGTTGTTTCGTGTAGACTTTAATTGGTAGAATTGTTTGCTCACTCCTCACACAACACAAGGATTTCAATCAAATAATTGACTTCATTCTGAGCTGTATATTTTCAGTGATTTGCTTTAGTTTGTTTGAAGTCAGTTCACATTGGTTTTGCTTCAGCTTTCTGGCTACACAATCTGATATATAATGTGTTTTCATGCTGGACCCAATGATAAGATAACTCTACACTACTGCTGCTGCTGACTTCTTAAATTAACTTCATTTTCAGGTAGATGGCATTTGCTTTGAACAACAGCAGCAGTTGTACAGCAAATCGATACATTTACTAATCACAGTATTTAATAAAAAATGAAGAAAACAACAACTGATGGCAAAAGGTCTGTCTATACAATCCATAAAGTCATTTAACAACTCGAACACTAACGTAGACCTGGTTTAATATCTGTATGGCTATTCAAGTCAAAATAAAGAGCATCGGGTAGATCAGATTGGCCATGCTTACATTTGATGCATCTCTTGGCTTTGTTTCTTATTTAAGTTCCAGGAATGACTTCAAGGCATTTACTACAATTGAATTTGATGGTCAGTAAAAGGTGCTTGAAAAATGTTGTTCAACCACGGATATCAAATCGAAATATTATGTGAAATATTATGTTTTTTTAATGTACAAGTGCAGGGGTTTGTTACTATTAATCAATAAACATTGAACTACAATGACAGGGAATCTATTAATAGCTAAATCTTTTATATTAGATTTCATAACCTCAAATATTTTATTAGGAATCTCTTATTCTGCCAGTACAGTTCAGTCATTTAACTAGTTTGTACTTATAATAGAAATAAATAAATAATCATCCAATACAACGTACCTGGTATTCCAGAAAGCAAGATTAGCTTACCCTCACACACTTTAAAAAATGATTTTTTTGGTGAAGTAAATACTATAGAAAAAAAACAAAAACAATGTAATTTACATGAAAAAGTTAGTTCAGGCAAGAATAAAAAAAAAAAGTAAATTGCATATCAGTACTTAATTTAAGCGAGTAGAAATGAAAGTGTAAATATCAACTCAATAAAATTAAGTAAAAATCCCTCATGCACTGGTCCTTGAATAATTAATGAGGTTCATTTTTCAATGGTTTCCAGCTTATTTACACTGTTTTATCATTGATTTTTGTTGTCAGTATTAGTGACTTGCCATTTTGTGACATTTTGAGTAATGTTTTTGCTCAAAATGACACGTTCAAACACAAAAACGACCCATCAAATGTTACCGCCGTTGTGTATTGTCTACCAAGTATTGAGGTCTTTGCATTCACATGTTGCTTAACATCTGACATGATGTAATATAAATTACTTAGATGATCTAAGTAAAGCACATACCATAAATGACTAACAAAATTCAATATTATTGTTTTAGTGAAATGCAAAGGCAAAGGAAATTTCAACTAAATTGATATTAGTGATATTGATATTGATTGATTGAATTGATAATCAACCTTTTACTAGCCAAATTATAATTACTTATTTTCTGTAAAGTTTACTTAATTCCATATGCCAAGTAAATTTAACTTAAAGATTTCGATAAAATACAGTGGCTACGGAAAGTATTCAGACCCCTTAAATTTTTCACTCTTATTTTACAGCCATTTGCCAAAATCATTTAAGTTCATTTTTTCCCTCATTATTGTACACACAGCACCCCATACTGACAGAAAAACACAGAATTGTTGACATTTTTGCACGTTTATTAAAAAAGAAAAGTTGAAATATCACATGGTCCTAAGTATTCAGACCCTTTGCTGTGACGCTCATATATTTAACTCTATTTCTTCTGATCGTCCTTGAGATGGTTCTACACCTTTATTTGAGTCCAGCTGTGTTTGATTATACTGATTGGACTTGATTAGGAAAACCACACACCTGTCTATATAAGACCTTACGGCTCACAGTGCATGTCAGAGCAAATGAGAATCATGAGCTCAAAAACAGAATTGTGGCAAGATTACAAAAAAAAATTCTGCTGCACTTAAGGTTCATAAGAGCACAGTGGCCTCCATAATCCTTAAATGGAAGACGTTTGAGACGACCAGAACTAGGGTTGGGTATCGTTTGAATTTGAACGATTCTGATTCCGATTGCGATTCCTTGTTTCGATTCCGGTTCCTAACGATTCTCGATTCCGATTCTTTTAAGAGGCAGGGTCAAAAAAGTTTAGCTAACCTTGCTAACCAACGGCCTTTCTAAAGGAAAAAATCCATTCTGAAGGAAATTCTCCTGTAAAAATACTCCTTTTGTCACAAATTTTGCATTTTGCCGAGATTTCGTTATTTTTAGAAAAGTGAAGCCACACGTTGGATCTCCGACGTAAGGTACTCATGTTCGACTCACGTGGTTATGCCAACACTTCCGGTAGACGCTTCTTCGGTGTTGTTCAGCGGTTTCTTCTTCCGCTCGGCGGACTGTGAATATCGAAACTAGGAATCGAAATTTTAACTTTTGAACGATTCCGGGAAAAACGAAAAGTTAGTCTCGGTACTCGATTCTCGATACCCAACCCTAACCAGAACCCTTCGTAGAGCTGGCCGTCCGGCCAAACTGAGCTGTCAGGGGAGAAGAGCCTTGGTGAGAGAGGTAAAGAAGAACCCAAAGATCACTGTGGCTGCGCTCCAGAGATGCAGTCGGGAGATGGGAGAAAGTTGTAGTAAGTCAACCATACCATACCATACCATACCAACTTTATTTGTTTAGCACTTTACAACAACCTAAGTTGACCAAAGTACTGTACAGAAAACATAAACATACAATTAAAAACCCTACATTCATCATTAGTAACAAAAAATTCATGGAGTCGACATCTTGCTAGGTGTCAAAAGCCAAAGAGAAAAGATGGGTTTTAAGAAGTTTTTTTTAAAAACAGGTAAAGAAGAGGCCTGTTTAACATGCAAAGGCAGATCATTCCATAGTTTCGGGGCAGACACGGAAAAGGCACGGTCCCCTCTGAGCTTACGCTTAGTTTTAGGCACAGTCAGGAGCAGTTGATCATCTGACCTGAGAGCGCGGACGGGTTTATACGAGTGAAGAAGCTCAGAGAGGTATGGCGGGGCAAGGCCATTTAATGATTTAAAAGCAAATAACAAATTTTAAAATGGATCCTAAATTGAATAGGCAGCCAGTGTAGTGAAGCTAAAATCGGGGAAATGTGCTCTCGTTTACGTGTGCCCGTTAAAAGACGTGCTGCTGCGTTCTGTATCATCTGGAGACGGGTGATGGAGGACCCATTAACCCCTACATATAGTGAATTACAGTAGTCCAGCCGTGTAGTTACAAAGGCGTGGATTGCAGTTTCAAAATGTTGTCTTGACAAAAATGGCTTTATTTTGGCCAGTTTCCTCAAATGAAAGAAGCTTGATTTGACAACCGCTCAAACTTAAGCTCATGGTCCACTTTAACACCAAGGTTTGAAATGCAAGGTTTAATGTAGGGAGCCAAAGAGCCAGGATCTATCGGTGGGGTCCCAGTGGTGCCTCCAAAAACCATCACCTCTGTTTTTTCATCATTAAAATGTAAAAAGTTCAGGGCCATCCAGGCTTTTATGTCTTTGACGCAATTGAGTAGATGTCCAACAGAGTTATCATTTCTCTTTTTAAGAGGTACATAAATCTGACAGTCATCTGCATAACAGTGGAATGAAATGCCATACTTCCTAAGTATGGAACCAAGTGGAAGCAAATACAAAGAGAAAAGTAGAGGACCAAGGACAGAGCCCTGTGGGACCCCACACAAGAGAGGAGCAGAGGAGGAAACATATATTCACCTACACTAACACAAAAAGTTCGATCCGCCTAGTATGACCTAAACCATTCCAATGCTATGCCACTGATGCCCACCAACTGCCGTAAACGCGAGATCAATACTTCATGATCCACAGTGTCAAATGCAGCAGTTAAATCTAAAAGCACAAGGATAACACAGTCGCCAGAGTCAGTCGCTAAAAAGATATCATTAAAAACTCTTAAAAGAGCGGTTTCGGTGCTGTGCAAGGTTTTAAAACCGGACTGGAAAACCTCTAGTATACTATGTTCGTTTAAAAATGCCAATAATTGACTATGCAATCTTCTCCAGGATTTTCGAAAGGAAGGGCAATTTGGAAATAGGCCTGAAATTAGTAAAAACCGACGGATCTAGCGCAGGCTTTTTAATAAGAGGTTGAACTACTGCATGTTTTAAGATTTCAGGGACCACACCCGAGGTCAGACTACTATTTATAACTGAAACCACAGATGGTCCTACTGTAGGGAAAACCTCCTTAAATAGTCGAGGGGGGACAGCATCATTAGGAGAACCCGTGGGCTTCAAGTGACCAACAACCTCCTCTAAGAAAGAGAAAGTCACCGGCTCAAAATGATCAAAAACAGCCGAGCAGGGGACAGAGATTGAGGGGTCAGAAGCTGCAGGTGCAATTTGGGACCTAATAGAAGTGACCTTATCAGTAAAAAAGCATAGAAAATTTTCACACATAGCAGTGGATGCCTCCATACAAGCATTCTGTGGGGCATTTAACATTGAATTAATGGTGTTAAACAAGACATGAGGCTTATGACAATTTGCCAAAATAATATCTGAGAAATGTTTCCTTTTAGCCTCTTTCACAGTTTCCTGGAAATGACGCCAGCAATCCCTTAAAATTTGGAGAGACACCTGCAGTTTGTCCTTCTTCCACCTGCGCTCAGCTCTACGGCACTCACGAGTCATGTCATTTAGCCAGGGCTCAGATTTAGTTTTAGGCAGCCTGGATTTTAATGGAGCCACACTGTCCAAAACAGTTTGGCAGGTGGAGTGAAACCATGCGCTAAGCTCTTCTGTGTGCAATACAGACTCAGGAGTGATGGTGTTCTGACTAAAAACAGCCGAGAACTGAGCAGCAGTGGAAGGGTTAATCATGCGACAGCGCCGTGCAGCAGCGCGAGGTTTAAGTGTATGACAAAAAAGAGCAGTCTCAAATAACACAGGCATATGGTCAGAAAACACCGCGTCACATATCTCTAGATTAAGAACAGGCAAACCATATGATAAAACAAGATCAAGTGTGTGTCCATGTTCTTGTGTGGGTCCAGACACAGATTGCACAAGATTAAAAGACTCAATGAGGTTTAGAAAACCCTTTGTCATTTGCTTGTCAGGACAACACACATGAACATTAAAATCCCCAACAATAAGAACACGATCATATTTAGGCATGATTTCAGCCAGAAAATCAGCAAAATCATTTAAAAAGTCCTTGTTGTACTTGGGGGGGCGATAGACTACAACACACAGCACTGTGTGAGAGCGACCAATCTCAAATAAACTTATCTCAAAGCTGCTGAAAGCAGATGACAGCATGATCTGTTTACATTTATAATGGCTCTTATATACAGTCGCTATTCCTCCTCCTCCTCGGCCAGATTTTCGCGGGGAGTTAGGTAGCAGCAATCATGGTGTAAAAATTCTGTGAAAGCGCTGGACTCACCATCACTCAGCCATGTCTCAGTTACACAGAGAAAATCCAATCCTCGGGACGTGAAAAGTTCTTTTAAGACAAAAGTCTTATTTGCTAGAGATCTAGCATTTACCAGCCCAAACCTGGCAGGAACCGGTGGATCCGCGACGCTTGACGTTCGTGGAACCCGACCCAGAGACCGCAAGTTGCTGTGATCGACTCCGCGCCAGCGGGGACGAGGAGAGCAGGGGCCACGGGGCTGGAACACCTCTTCCGGGCCGACGACAGGTATCAGCCAGGCGCCGACAGGGTCCAGCGAGCGTCGAGAAATAACGAGGCTTGGCACGTCTACAAGCTCAGTCCACAAAGGCGTCGAACACCATGCAAGGCGGGTCTTCAACCTCACCAACCGGCCACTACGTTTTCCCCGGCGGCGGGTGCGCTTTCGTCGGCGCTCTCGCCGAGAAGGTGGAGTCGGGGCGTGCCAAAGGTGAGCCGGGAGCCTCGAGTAGTATGAAGCTGCAGACTCGGAGACCTGCATCTACAGGCCCCCTGCACCCAGAGTCCCGCATTCTCAGACCCCTCGTTTTTCGAGACAGCGCCTCCTATCAAATTGCATCGGATAAACATGTGAAGAACATGTGAAGAACTTATAAGCCAAAACGTGAGTAGCTATCTTCAATTTTATTTAGTGAATTGAAGTAGCCTACTCGTTTGATTAATCAAACTAATTTAGCTCATCGATAAAATATATGAATAGTCCATTTAATATTTGTAAAGATAGTTTGTAACAAGATTTGAGCCGTTAATGTATGTTTTTTCGCCCTCTTCCCCCCGAAAATATTTAGATAGCTAACGTTTTCGTTAGCCTTTAACCTTGGACTTTTTGTAGATATGTCATAAATGCTGCAGTTATTTTCACTGCCCATTTTGTGCCCCCATATATTTCCCCATAGTCACGAACACAGTTTTCTTCCTTTTTTCTTTTCAGCAAGATGATGTTTAGGTGATGATTAAATAAAGTACAGAATTGTTTATTATTGGTGTTTTGTTTATTCTGATTTGTTTTGCTTCGCATTCAAAATATCAAAAAACAGATTTTGTAATGTTAACATGGTAATGTTAATTAAACTATTATAGGTTGAACTGAAAGAAAAAATAGAATTTGATTTTAAAAAATATATATAAAAAACATTGTAGCAATATAATATCACATACTATTTTTCAGAAGATAGTTCAATCTGTAATTGTATCTCTTCCATCAGTAACAATGAATTTTTTTGGCACATGCATTAAGCAGGGAACGCAAATATATATTGGATAATTTATTTGGAAACCGTAATATTGCATCCTATTGTTTTTAATTGCATTTGGATAATCGTGCGCTGTACTCTGTGTGCGGGTGTTATACGTTCTTTTGAACAGCAGGAAGCGCTGTGTTCGAAAAACGAGGGGTCTGAGAATGCGGGACTCTGGGTGGGGGACTGTAGATACAGGCTCCGAGTCTGCAGCTTCATAATATTGGGGAGCCTCGCTAGGAGCGGGGGCAAAGTTTCACGTCCACCATCATGATCCAATTTTACTAAATTTTCAACCGAAAATCGCAGATCCAGCAGTGTTTGGCGATCATACACCAGCAAAGAGTCGACATCCCGGGCAAAAAGCAAAACAAACAGCAAAAACACACAGCAACGACAGTGACAGACGGCATGCCACACACACTGGCGCCATCTTGTGACGTTTCAGACGTTTCAAACCATCACTGCAGCAATCCACCAGTCGGGGCTTTATGGCAGAGTGGCCTGAAGGAAGCCTCTCCTCAGTCAAAGTTTGCTCCAAGGACTCCAAGATGGTGATAAATAAGATCCTCTGGTCTGATGAGATCTTAATTCTAAGCGGTATGTGTGGAGAAAACCAGGCACTGCTCATCACCTGTCCAATACAGTCTCAACAGTGAAGCATGGTGGTGGCAGCATCATGCTGAGGGGGTGTTGTTCAGCTGCAGGGACAGGACGACTGGTTGAAATCGAGGGCCAAGTACAGGGATGTCCTGCACAAAAACCTTTTCCAGAGTGCTCTGGACCTCAGACTGGGCCGAAGGTTCACCTTCCAACAAGACAATGACCCTAAGCACACCGCTAACATAACGAAGGAGAGGCTTCACAACAACTCCGTGGCTGTTTTTGAATGGCCCAGCCAGAGCCCTAACTTAAACCCAACTGAGCATCTCTGGAGAGACGTAAAAATGGCTGTCCGCCAACGTTTACCATCCAACCTGAGAGAAGTGGAGAGGATCTGCAAGGAGGAATGGCCGAGGCTACCCAAATCCAGATGTGAAAAACTTGTTGCATCTTTCCCAAAAAGACTCATGACTGTATTAGATCAGAAGAGTGCTTCGGTCCGTGTGATATTTCAGTTTTTCTTTAAAATAAATGTGCAAAAATGTCAACAGTTCTGTGTTTTTCTGTCAATATGGGATGCTGTGTGTACAATAATGAAGGGGGAAAATGATTTTAGCAATTGGCTGCAATATAACATAGAGTAAAAAAATCAAGGGGGTCTGAATACTTTCCGTACCCACTGTATGGTTAGGTTTTTACTTGGCAAATCTTTGTAAATTTACTAGCATTTTC